TAAACGAGACCGACCCTTCATATGCCCCAACCAATCACCTCAAAATACTCTAAATTCTAAGGTACCATACGCTATGCGCAGTTAACATCAAGATAAAAGTTATTGATGGTTCCCAAGAGCTCAAGAGAGTGGGGAGTTCATCTTCATACCTTTCGGGCTTTAGAACTATTAATCGATTCGAATTTTGTGAATTTGAGTTTATTAAACTCGTTTTTTTAAATGTATTTAAAGAATTATTTAAACTCGACTTGTTTAAAAAATGAGTCGAGCTCGAGTCCGAACTCAAATAACTCAATTATTTTACATATAAATGAGTCTAAAAAATTATTCAAATTCAATTCGTTTAGAACATGAACTCAAGCTCGAACAGAGTCTTATTTGAGTCGTGTCCGAGTAGCTCTACTCGATTAACAACTCTATTTGAGTTGGTGTTTTTCACTATTACTAGATAATAAATGGTAGTGATGATAATAGTTAGTAAGTTAGGATTGAACAATTTTTGATGGGAAATCAAAAATTACATGATCCCTAAATGAATAAAAAATAGAATTATTATAAAAAAAAAAACTCAATTTTGACATGAATCCTAATATTATTGGATTTTTTTTATGGGTTTGTGAGTATCTTCAAGGGAGAGACAGAGGGTGTATAGTGAAACATCACAAAATGAACATTAAGGAAAAATAACTTGTGACATGTAACATATGAGTAGTGGGAATATATTGAATTGCAAGTTATGTTGGGCAGCCAGATTTGCCCTTATTTTTAAGCATTTACAAATGACCAAGAATAGATACATGAGACATACGTTACTACAAAATTTAAGAAAGATTAGATAAACATAATTTTATCCACGTATGCTGACCGATTATTTTGATAAATTGAAATCGGCCAATTCGACATTTGACATTTCCTCCACTATAGGGTTTCAAAATCATTAGTGTTACATAATTTTTTCCATGTATACAACTTCAAAACTATTTTTTCAATTTGACCTTATAACAACTAGATTAAAAAATAATTACCTTACTACTGCACCACGATCGGTCCCTCCCAAAATACCCAAATGTTAGCATTAAAAAAACTCATTGATTATCACTTTCATTCATTTGTTATAAAGTGCAATGAAGGTGGTGAATTATAAATAAAAAATAAATAAAAAAATAAGAAGGTGGTGAATTATGGAGCCAACAAACCAATATTAAGGACTCCCTTTTCACACAATAAAAATTCAACACACAATCCCCACAAGAATAGAGAACCTTACCCTACTTCTACTTTATATATGTGGACAAGTTCAATACACGTTTGCTCTATGTCTTGAACTTTCAATCATCCTTCCCATTGGTACATCCACAACCTAATTACAAAGGCCCTTTTCATTGTGTTCGTTTCTATTTTTCAATCCATGATCAATATGTTCACACTCCTGTAATACAACAGTGAAAATTGTTTTTAGGGCACATTACACTTTGTGGTCTCAAACTATGCCACGATTTACTTCGCCTCTTTTAATACTATTTTTTTTTCAGTATCTTATCAACTACTTGAATGAATTTTCCATTACTCCAAAACCATATTTATGATATATTTTAACCGGATAATATTAACGTGTCACTGAATTTCGAAGAAAAATAAAACAACACCATGTAGTTTAGAGGATAATGTGACAAATTTTCAGTCAATTTATTGCATACACTTATAATGGGTATAATGTGAAATTAATAATTATTATTGAAGGTGTGAGTTGAAAAATACGATAATTGTGAGAACAATGTGCAATAAGAGGGATAGTTGGAGGGGTAAACGCATTATTTGCCCATTTGTCGCTAAAAAAAAGTAATAAGGATATTGAAATTTAGTTCTAAAATTTGGTCAGTCTAGTAAAGGGATCAAAAGTTTAGACAACCTCACTCATGTTCAACATTTCTTATACATCTTAAGTGTCAGCGACCCTTGTTCTCGAGGGGACATATTTTAAATTCACTCAAGTTACGGTGGTAAGTATTTGAGTTCGAGAGAGTAGTCAGCATAAGCCTGAATACCCTGTAACAGAAAAAAAAAAAAAAAGAAAGAGTTTAGACAGTGAAATATAGAGCTTGACCTAATTATTTATAAGCATTGAATTGATAACAAATCCCACTATTCTTTAAAATACTCTATCAATCTAATGGTAATGATTGTAATTTATTATATCAACAAGTTATATCAGTAAATTAGATTCAAATAATATTACCATGAAATATATTCAAGTATCTAAAAAATGGTCCCAACTCTTCATAACCTAGCATCTCAACTTGAGCTTAAATTCAATGTTATGGTTCACACGTCAAGGCAGAGGAACACATCCACTAGGTTTATAGAAATGTCAGTCTTTCTGCAAATTTTGACCTTTTCTAATTAATTGATATCATTAATCCTAAAGAGCATCTTGTTTTCAGAGGTGCAATTTGGGCGTCTCAGTCTTAATTCAACCCAAATCTTGTTTATAGTTAGTTCAGTGTTGAAGAGACATCCTCTCGATCTTTTTCATAATAAACCCTTCTCTCTCTCTCTCTCTCTCTCTCTCTTATTTTAGACATAATTGGTTGAATTAATTGAATCTTTTACATGAGTAAATATTTCATTTTCCTCGAGGTCAAAGAACTATTCTTAATCTTCCTTTGCAGTCGTCTTTGATGCATTTTCTTTAATGATATCGCAATATTGACAAACTCTCACCTCGTGTTTAATTATTTTTTCTACCTATCATTCATTGTTTATCACTTAAATGTTCCCTAATGTTATGACTGACAAGTCTCGGTAGACACTGTCAATGGACGAGAGAGACCGGGTTGGGAGGGGGGGGGGGGGGAGGATTAATGTTGAATTGAATGTGAAGACGGAAGAGGATGGCCGTGAGCTTGGGGAGGGAAGAATAGTTCCCTCCTCAAAAGTGATGGGTCGTGAGGTAGATGGATGAACTGCCATAGAAAGATCATTTATCGTACGTTTCTTGACGTCTTTCCCCTCTGAGGACCCTTGTTGAGAGACCAAGATGTTCACAACAATCATTATCTCTCAGAAGAAAAGTTTCTCTTCAATGCAAATAACAGGATTAAGGGCAAATTAATCCTCTGATATCAGGGTTTATGTTTTGTTCATTATCCTATAGTTCACAAACCACAATAACACCCCAATTGTCATAATTTGAGATAGATATCCTTAAAGAAAAGTGTACAGCTCAGAGCTATTTTAGCATTTGAACATTAGTTCTATCTTAATGGGATATTTATACATTTGATTATGATGATGTGGTATCCACTCGAGTGCCAATCTTACGCCTGACAGTTTACAATTATCGTTCAATGTAATAAGTATTTTCTCGTCACTTCTTATTAATGTCAGATGATTAAATAGTCGGGGTCAAACATTTGGGAAGGGTCGTTGATTCATATCTTCACGCCCCAAACATCGAGTGCTCTACAATAAAATGCTCACAGCATACTGCCAAGTATATAAGAGTAGACGTTGAAATCCCAGTTAGATATTTCTGAGGACTAACCAGTTACAGTAAGGGTCATGCCTTGTCTCTTTGGCGATTACACATGAACCCCTTGCGAACAATACATTTAATGATAATTTGTCACATCAGCACATTGCACAAGGTTCACACTTCGATGACAATTAATAGTCGGCATAGGCCGTTCACATATTCGTTCCTCTACGCATCATGCATTCTTAGTCCTTTAATCAGTCTCGGCCATCGGTAGCTCAACCTACACGCTTTGCTGGCTCAAAACATCCACGTGTCGGTTCATGACTGACAAGCCACCTATGTCCCATCAATTGCCACCACCACATGCATGTGGTTGTTGTGTTTCTTCACCAATGAGGTGGCCGTTAGGGTGCTATAGATGGTTAGAGAGAGAAAGAGAAAAAAAGAGTGCTTTGTTGGCTCAAAACACCCACGTGTCGGTTCATGACTGACAGGTCACCTATGTCCTGTCAACTGCCACCACCACCATCACCACATGCTCATGTTTGTTGTGTTTCTTCACTTGATGAGTCACTCGTTAGGGTGCTATAGATGGTTAGAGAGAGAGAACTATATCCATTCTCTATGTATTTATTATTTTTTTAAAATTCTATTTAAATAGGCAGGTTAAATCCAATTATTAATTGGGTTGAATTCAATTAAATTAATCCAGTACAAATTTTGAGTTTGAACCCGTCAACCCCGCATCTCAATTTGAATATTGTCTCGAGTTTAAATCAGAGTAGAACTTTTTCCCTAAGCCCAACCCATATATTGTAAATTTGGATTTGGGTTGACCCACCCCACATTGCACACCTAATTCAAATGGCTACGTGGGTATTCATTCTGGAAAGAAGGTTTTAACATTAGTGTATCGAGGTTCTAAATTTGATTCTCGTAAGAAAACGTGTTGTATGGGCTACCAATAGTGACTGATCATTAGAAGGTGTATCCTTTAATTCAATCTACATACTTTAGAAGGCAAAATAGAGAAAGCCTACAATGGTCTATGCATAAAGAATGTCAATAAGCAATCAACAGGAACAGAAAGTTTTGAAGTAAGAATACCAAATCCTAAAGCAAAAAACCATAGATAAAAATGATAGTATAGAAAAGAACAGCTGAATCCATGAATGAGTTCTGCAGAATTACACTACCGGGCGGGGTTCAAGTAATTAGGTTGAAATGTTCTGTTCAGAGTATGGAGCCACTGATATCAAAGCCTAATAGTATAGAAGCCCGGAATCCAAATAAGATAACGAAGAAGCCACTCAAAATCGAAATTTAGATGAAGAAACCTCAGTAAGAACAAGCTCTAGATTTCTTCCCGCTTTCCTACTTTTCCTCTCTCCTTCTGTGACATCCCATTTTCAGTCAAATCCTATGCCAATAGTCTAGATACACCAAGTTCACTAATTTTTCAATTTGCCAAATGACTGAGATTCATCAATTACTAAGAAGTGACATTGCATTATATTTAATAGGAAGAGTAATAGAAATATCATCCCCATTATGAAGGGTATTTCTAACATAAAACTCAGAATATTTCGATCTCTATGGTCTATATACACTTTCATTCTAAAAGAACTACCTCTTTATGTAAGTTAAACAAATCAGAAACAAAAAGGAGAGCTGCCTCATTTGATGTGTAGTGAGTTCTTAGCTATAAGTAAGGAACAACGAGATATCAAAAGAAATGTACGTGCTTTACAAAGAACAGGAGGATGTGTTAGTGAGACGCTGCAGGTAGTTTCCAAAATTCTTTTGAGGCTACAAGAATCTTTTCCTTCCCATGAGATTCAGCTTTCTCCTCATATACCGTAGTTGTCCATCTTACTGCATGAGCAATTCGATCTACTTTGTCAATCACCTCAGGTGAATCTCGCATCACTACAGTTCCTTGAGGACGCAGCATTCGATCTATCTCCACTATCAAATCCACGAGGTTACACCTGCGATAATGTCACAAAGAAACAGCCCTCATCCTTTTTGCACTGATTAAGAATTTCTACGACTTTTTTGGCAAATAAAAGCAGCCTTAGCTCTCTTTCGGACTAAAGGGCAACCAATGCATCTACTTGCAAAACAAAAGCAAAATCTGACTTGACTTTAAGATAAATGATTTGTAGAGAGAGAGAGAGAGATTTAATACACAGGATACAAGACAAGATTGAGCTTACCTGCTCTTTCCAGAAGTTGGATCTCTTACAAGAGACTCGATGGCAGCTACGTGGATGAGATCATAAGTTCGTGGATATGTTGAGAAAGGCTCACACCTATGGCATCAATCAAAAAAACATAATAAGCACATCTAAGCAAACATTGTTCAACATGTAGCTGGTGAATCCTCCACAGCTAGACAGAAAAATCAGCAATAAGCTACTAATTCTTAGCAGCAGAAAATAAACAGGTCATGTTTGCTTTCAACTATAAGAAATTGCAGATAAGAAAAGTCATCCTAATAACCAACCAATCATGGTAAACTCCAATGAGGCCTCTGTCGTAAATAACACCAAGTGTTGAAGGCTTTTGAGCAGGAACAACATTCATCACCCACACGGGATCAGATAGTAAGGCTGCAGCAAAGCCTCCGAACAATGCACTCATATCCATGATGTTTCGTATGGCTGGAGTTCCCAGCTTAAGGTTCAATGATTTTTTGTAGTATGCAACCCTCTGTGCCCATCGCTGAGTGTCTGTTTCAAACATATCAATTCCAGTTTTCATTAGTGTGGCCCTGGAAGGAGCTACTGTTAGCCTTTCTGGCCACTTTGGAATTGTTCCAACAGCATCTTCTCCCTTGACAGACGATGTCCTGCTCACACATTTCTTTAACTTGAAGTACCTGAAAAATAACTGAACCAGCATTACAAATACATTCTGTAATTTGAAATGAGCTTTTGATAACAATACCACTGTTTTATCTGCTAACGATACCACTGTTCAAGTGAGTACTCAAATTTGTGACCAAAACTTACACACATCCAAGACTTAAAACAAGAATGTCCATAGCAATCCTATTAGGCGAAGAGAAAGATCCTTTTGTAATCAAGCTTTCTGTCTTCCAGAGATCGTGAGATGTCTATAGGAAAAAATAAAAGACTTGAAATGCATCCTAACAAGAATTACCATGCAGAACTTGGGTCATCAGGTTCATCACACAGTTCCAATCCAAATTCATTATGGTTTGGCAGACATGAATCTCCATTAGGTTTTTTCCAGATTGCAGTGTTCCCGTCCACAACAATCAGCTCATAACACCTTGCTCTCGACACCTCCTGGAGATCTGCCCATTCTTTGTCTTGCTTAGGCCACTTTACAGGGGGGCCAGATATTACAAGATAACCTCCTGGGCGTAGTAACCGGTCAACTTCAATGAAATACGATGCATCTGCAAAGCAAAATTCCTCTACTGTAAGTACGATTCAAGTAGATAACAAAGGTCTGCAACAAAGGAGGCCACAAGTGACACTAAACTCACTATATGCTGTGAAAGGGATCAAACATCGAGAGCAATGCACCAAGTCAAATGAGAAAGCAGGAAATGGAAGTCTGTGAGTGCCAAGCATTGCCACAAATGCTGGTATTCCTCTTTCCAGCGCAAATTGAATTTGTGCCTTATGTGAATCGCGTGGAGCAAAAGAGAGGGTTAAAATATCTTCAGCAAGTAGGTACCCACCAAAACTGGCAACCTGCAAGGAAATTGAATTATACAACACGCAAAAAGGATCACTTATTTGTTAATAGTTTGAAAGACACAGGAACTAGATTGTACCCCACATCCCATATCAAGAGCTGTCCTCAGAACTCCACTACCTATAGGAATATAATGTTTAAGTTTCTCTATATATTGTACTGCTCCATCAGGGAACATTGTGCCACCACCAGGAAAAATGAAGTACGGGCCTTCTTCTTTCATCCATCCCTGATGGCCTTTCCTGTCAGCTATTTTATTGTATGGCACATTCTTGTGCCATATCTGCGCACAAAACAATGTCAATTAGTTACCTACTGACCATGGCACTGATAGGAAGCCAATCAAATTTCAGTCTTTCTATCTCTAAATATGAACTAAATGGACATCCCACAAAGGATCTTCAAGATTATCCAAAAAGCATGCTTTTGTATTTATCATCATATTATGGTACACACTGTTGACCAATTTATTACTACGGATTGAGTTTTCTTTGTGGAAGTTGACAACACAGCAAGCCTCTGGCCTAGGGGACCCACCAATGCATTTGATTAAAGATACGAAAAAAATATGTCGAACGGTGAACTGGACAATTCTTTGAGTATGCAGAAGTTGCAGGCATGAATTCCTTGGGGCAGACATGGGTTTTACTGAAGGGGAGGATCAAAGATGGAAGCAATGAAGCCAGTGCTAAACAGCTTAATCTTTGGCTCAACAAGCCAAGCTCCAGCTTTTATTCTTACGCTTAACTACCAAGTTTGCTAAAACACCAAGCATTCTTAGACACTGGGCTCACTATAAAGCACTTAGGAAGGCTTTTTTCAGTGTCCGAAAACCAAAACATAAAACTTGAACCCATGACATTTTTCATAAACATGAGCATAACAAGAAGCAGCTTGGCTAGACCTATTAAAAAACTCAAATGTGGAGAGAGCCACAAAAACAACAGGATTTAGTCAATTAGCTTTTGTTAACTGAATTATGGTACAGCATGAGCAAACCACATTCAAACTGATTCTCTCAGAGTGTTGATAATGCTACAACCTCTGGGCACCCAAAACACTTGGGCTTGAACAAATTGTTTGCAAGAATATTTTTGGCACAAAGCTCGTGTTTCAAAAACAAAATTAACCAAACTCTCAAGAGCTTTATGACTTTCAGAAAGCACTCCTTTTGGCACTAAAAAAAGTACTTATCAGCCAATGTCACCACTAACACGAAACAAGCTCAAAAAATAGAACCGAAACATATTCGAATATAAAATCAACATCGACAAAATTTTATTATACAATGCAGTAATTCAAATCATAAATTCAACTATCAAAGATACAAAGTTTAACATATAAATAACTCTGAAGCAGAATTTTAAGTTCAATCCAAGTTTCTAATGTTTGAGCAAATAGCTATATGCCAAAAACAAAATCCAATATAATTAGTGAATGCTTCAATGATAATTACCTTGTGCAAGCTCTCGGGCCACTTAACACTAATCCGGTACCGCTCAGGTGGTGGAATCAAACAAAGCGGTGTCTCCCCTGGTGACGGACAATGCCGTTCCCTATAATAATTCATCTCTCTACTAAATTGGCTATTTCTCCGCGGATCTTCACAAGGCATGTAATCCACGGCATCGGCGGCACACGACTCAATGCTCTGCCGTTGGCCGGACTCCACGAAATCCACCAGGCGGTGGCGCTGCTTGGGATCCGATGTCGACTGCCGCTTAGCCGGCCGCACTGGGGCAGCCAGTGAGTCGCCAGAACGAGTAAACCCGAAAAGGAAGAATAGAAGCACGGCGGCGAAGAAGGCGGCGGACACTAAATCAAGGAGGCGCCACTGCAGCGCATTGCGTTTCGATGATTGTCCCATATTGATTATAACCAAAACAATCAAGATCTGTATATATATATATATATATATATATAGAGAGAGAGAGAGAGAGAGAGAGAGGGGTGAAGAAGTGAACCTCAGGTGGTAATGAGGATTGAAGATCTGATGAACAGAGACTCACTGGTTTTAATTTATTCGCTAATAAATATTAATTTGTATCGATCCACATCTCAAGTTAACCGTCAACCGTCCGTAAGATTGAGGTCTAAAATAGATAAATTATAGTTACACTATTTTATGTTTGTTATTTAATTACTCAAACCTCTCATATTTAAAATATTATACTTACATATCTTGAAAATTTAAATTTGACTAAAAATATTTCCCAATTAGACATTCAAATAATTCTGTTTAAGCGATATATTGTTTTAAAAATAAAGAATATTATATAAATACTTACATTATATTGGACATTCAAATGATAAGTTTAATTTTAAATTTTAGAATATAACAGATCCACAAAATAAAGAGTAGTATGAAATTATAATTTTTTATTATGATAAAATCATATTTTTTAACAATTATATTAACAGATATTAACGATAAAGAAATATGTGTCACATGTGCACAAACGTCAGGAGGTGTAAGAGTAATATTTTAAATTTGAGAAATCCAAATGATTAAGTGACAAACACGAGGGAATTTAGGTATAATTCATCTACTTATTTTTACACCACAAATTAACGGCTATTAATTTCAGGTGCGTATTGATACAAATTTTTATTTTTGAGAGTATAAATTGAGATTTTTGATTTTTGAAGGTACAAATTAAAATTCGAACGATCTTGTAAGGTATAATTTGTAATTAATATTTTACTTTATACTCTCAAATATTAAAAAATTTAATTTATACCCTGAATTTTATGAATTGATAGTAATATGAGTCTTGCCCATACTGTTATTTAGTTTTTTGTCATTTATTAAGCATGTAAATTATAAGTGCTTTGAGCATGGGTTTATGTATAAATTCACAAACTATTGGTGTTTCATATAAGTTGTACGTGATAGGATTAACCTCTATTTGATTAATAAAATTCTATTTTTAATACACAACAATATCAAATTGATCTATAGCGATTGACATACCTTATTCTTATGTCCAAAACACTTGCTCCTCACATGCCAATTTATGATAAAAACTGAATGACAGTCTGATTTAATTTACATTAGTATCAATTTATAACATTAAAAGTGTAAATTAAAGATCGAAATATCTTTTAAGATGTAAAGTGAGATTAGAGCTTTGATCATTTTGAAATGGATCCTTTAATTCAAACTTATTTTCCATGGGGGCATTATCATACTAACAGAACCAACAACATCTTGATCAAATTCTAGTGTCGGTGACTTTTTCTATTTTGTAACATCTACAAGTTTTTCACCAATCTTATGTCCTTATAATTTTTATTTCCTAAATCATGCCAATTTTATAAACTCATGCAGTTGTTAAAAAACTTCTAACCTTCGATTCAAATGACGTTATCTGTTTTTATAGATCTATTTGGTGAGCATATGTAATTTGAAGTCGTTGTAAAAAAGATGTTTTCTAAACTTGCTTGAGTTAGAAAAATAAGATTGAAATTGTGTGCGTCTGAAAAATACGATTTTGGATGACACACTATTAGTGAAAAATTCAAACATCTACCAGTTTAGAACTCCCACAGAGAGCTAGACATTGATTTTGCCATTTCATTCATCCTAAGGATTACAAAAACTAGAAACATTCTCATATCTCACCCTATTTTTTCCCCAAGAGTTAACAATGGTTCTCAAAATTAGTACCACATTTGTTCTTCTCTTTCTCTCTCTCTCTCTCTCTCACACACACACACACACACAATTTGGTATCTGAGTCAATGTTATGCGTGTAGGATCCGTCATTTTGGAAGGGAGGGATTAGCCCATCTAGGTCGAGTGTGACAGAGAAATATGTTTTGTAGTGAAACATTTTTTTTTGTCAAGACATATGTAATTGCTATCACAATTTTTTTTAAAAGACATAAATATCACTTTCCGTGACAAAAAAAAAAAAGAAAGCAAAGTTCGATATAAATCACATATTGTATTTCATGAAAACACGAAAAAATTTGAAAAAATGATTTAAATGTATCTCTGAAAAAGATATAGTTGACTTGAATGTAAGCACGTAAGCAATTGCCCTGCCCAAAAAAAGTTGGGGTTTAAAAAATAATTGCATTCTAAAGAATTATTAACACAAACATTGCAAAAAATCTAAGTGAGACATTAGTGCTATGAAGCTGATTCAGACCCTTGAGCAGCTGGGGCTGTCCAGTACTGCTTGGTTGCAATAAGAATCTTCTCCCTGGCATGCGGACTAGCTTCATGATCGACCATTCTGCTTTCCCATTGAAGTCCACCTACAATGCTCTTGACACTCAACAAGACATCAACATCGTCTCGTATGATCACACTTCCTTGTGGTCGTAATGTTCGATCCATTTCCAACAGAATATCTTTGATTTCACATCTGTAACACATTAAACATCAAAGTACGTTCAAAAATGCTTTATGTTCATAATCACCGCTAAATTAGAGAAATAAAAAAAAAAAAAAAACTATACCCTAAAATCTTACCTGTCCTTGTAGAGGGTGAAAATAGAATCAGCATGAATGAAGTCATAAGTTCTTGGGTAAGTAGACATGGCCTCACACCTAAAAGGACAGATTTGTCAGTCAGAAACACATTAATGAAAAGGTATTCCTAGTAAGAGGTTACAGGGGAAGGTGGTACTTGTGATATTTCATCTTGCGACTTATTTTATTTGGCAGTTTTTTGATGTTAAATATGATACGACTCCCTAATTTTTATTGGCACTAGAAACACATTACATTGTGACAGGATAAAGTTTCACGATTTAATGAATCTTCCAATTATTCTAGAGGGGAGGAGGCATACCAGTTTTGATAAGTCCCAATCAATCCACGTTCGTATATGACTCCAAGAGAATCAACCTTTGCCTCGACAGGGACGATGTTCATAACCCAGACTGGATCATCAACAAGTGCAGCTGCAAATCCTCCCAAGTAAGAATTCATATCGAGCACATTCCTGTACCTTCCTGCCTCGGCTAGCTGATAGTCCAAAGCTTTGTAGTGCGATACTCGTTTCTTCCATAACTCTGCATCTTTTTTGAAGGTTTCTGCTGTAATTCCCATGACACTTCCACTCATAATCCTTGGAGGGATTGCAGTCATTCTCTCTGGCCAGTTTGCTAGCTGCCCCCCCGCAGTTTCTTTAATATCGGAAACTTCAGGCATAGGAGTTAGACAAGTCTCCATCTTTGTGTACCTGCAAAATTTTGAATCTATCTATCCTGAGGTGTAGAAAAAACAAGATAAAAGTTGAGTTCAACAAAAGGCCTCTGAGAAAAAAAGAAATTGAACTCTGAAGTCTGAGATGTCTCAAAGAAATTGAACTCTGAAGTCTGAGATGTCTCAAAGTCAATCACGAGTCAAGTGAGACTTATGCTTGGTTTGTGTATCAGTCTTGGAAAGGAAGGTACCAAGGCGGGCATATTGGTAGCAACCGATACTTTGAACCATGAGTATCGACAGTGAAGTATCGAATTAGAAGACACAAGGAGATATACTTGTAAGATTAGTTTCCAACACTAAGCACCCCTTTATCATCAAACCGGTTTTGGTATCACTGCAAAAGTGTTGTACAACGGAGAACAATTCAACTTTATTTCCTTTTCTTTTGGTCCAAGACCCTGCTGGAGTGTATCCTGGAGGCTTTTAATAAAGAAAATAGAAGTACAGAACATTACCATGCCTTGTCTGGATCCCGTGAATCACAGAAGCGAGGTTTTTTGAACACTTTCCGGTTGATTTTACAGTGAAAATGATTAGTGGGCTTCTGCCAAATTGCAATATCCTCCTTCTGTGCCAGTTTCTTCCAGCATAGGCTTCGCGCTATGCTCTCAATTACAAACTGTTCTGCTTTCAGTTCTTCGCGTGTTCTGTTCCAACCTTTCCAGTGTCTCTCCCAGTTTATAGGTGGCCCTGATAGAATCCAATACCCTCCAGGACGTAAAATCCGATCAACTTCAATCAAATAAAGCCCATCTGTTCAAAGAATTCAAATATTACAAAAAACGATTTTGGTTCTGAATTAACTAAAACTATGCACAACAAATTTTGATTGTTCAACAAAAGTACTGCAATGAATGAATTAGAGTACCATATTGGCCCCAAGGAATGAGGCATCGAGAACAATGAGCCATGTCGAATGCTCTTGAAGGGTAAGGCAACCTAATGGAAGCTAGAACACCAATCAATGCCGGAACTCCTCGTTCAAGAGCAAACTGTACTTGTGCTTCATGGGTGTCTCTTGGAGCAAATGACATTGTTAGGATGTTTCTAGACAAAAGGTAAGCACCCCAACTTGCAACCTGCAAATTAAAAGAAAAAAATAAACAAAAAAATTAACTTCTGTAAAGATTTAATTATCCACAGTAAAATACCAAACCGCAAAAGATACAATTCATAATTAACGAATTTGAGATTGAAAATTCATTGTAGATATCCATATTAGGATCGACTGTCACACAATTCATTATAAGAACCTTATTATTACTTTCATACCTATTATTAATTGTAATATTTGAGATACTTTACACAATCATGTTCAAAAAAGATACTTTCAAAAAAAAAATATTGAATGTAGAAGAGTCTATAAGCCCCATGCTCGATTCTCGAAATTAAGCCAGCGTGAAACTAAGAAAAATATATATGTCTAAAGCGACATATAAGTAAATTGTGCACGCTTTAAAAAGAAGAGAGATGTTCGCAATTACTACCGCAACAAAACTGCCCCTATCTCTACTCTAAAGGGCCTGACACTTTGTTCGTACTTTCTTGGCTTAAGCTTCCAAGTAACTGAACTTTCATTATGAACACTTGAAACATACTATTTTTTTGTCTTCTCTGTGATGTAGAGTAAAAACAAACCTCAGTAGTACTTTCCCCTAAACCACTACTTTCAAAAGAGAGATCGGAAAGTAAGAACAAACATTCTATACTAGAACCACATACAAATTGCCTTAAAACAAGGGTGCTTTTATACAAAAAGCATCAAATTGGGACTGTTCTTTCTAGTTATGAAACCATCAGAATTTCAGTTGGAGCCATTACTAGTGGCCATAATCACAACTCTAAAACCGACTCTTGACCCAAAAAACACAGAAAATTAGGTTTTTTGCACTTTACACTCTCAAGATTTCAAGATTTTTGTTTTGTACCCCCAAATATTAAAATTTTCTTATTACACCATCAATTTATCAAAAGTGTTGCATGTGGTCATTTCTGTTAGTTTTCGTTATTTTTTTTGTCAAAAGTCAACCTATTACACTGATGAAAAAAATAATAGAAAGTTAACAGAAATATTACATTGTAACACTTTTAATACATTGAAGGCTCGTTTGGTTGTCGTATTAGAAATGATTAGATAAAATAATCCGGTTTAACACAATATAGAAGAACAAAAAACAAGACTAAATAGGGTATTAGAATAATACATAATTTTATCTAGTGTTTAGTAATACACAACATAAACGTTAGATAGTAATTATTTAATCAAATTGGTTGTTTGGTTAAGGAATTATTTGATCGTATTAATGTTGAATTAATAAAAATATCCTCAATCAGTATTTGTTACATTGATAATAGTTTGATTTTATCAGTTGAACGGTTATAATCGTAAATGTGTAAAATAATACGTTTGACTTATATTATAATATCACATTTTTTGGTGATATTAAAATACCTCTATAATACAGGTCTAACGTATAAAAAATATACGATAAGTATACGTTTTTGAAAATAATACAATATCAAATTTGCTTATCAAACAAAGTATTAGACCCGATTAAATAAAAAATAATACAATTCAATATTTAATCATCTCATAATACTTCTACCAAACGAGCCCTGAGGGTATAAAGTGAGAAAATTAATCTTTGAGGGTATAAAGTGAGAAATTTAAAATCTTTTAGGATATAAAATGTAATTTGCCCTAGAAAGAAATTCTTTATTACACTTACACCCCACAAAAATAAAGAATTTCTTTTTTACCCTCAAAGATTTCTCCCACTTAATACTCCTCCCACGTTGACCTAATCATCCACTAATGGTCAAATTTACTGTCAAAATCACTGGGTTTATGGGTTAAAAAATGGGTTACAATATGAATTAGATTTTATCAGTAAATTTGGTTTAAATAATATTATGGCTCATCGAATTCACCTCAACAGAGTGAATGAAATTTGAAATTTAAAATCTAAATATTAGTGAGGAGAGAGTTTTAGAGAGTGAGATGATTTAGTGAGAGAGTACTATTTATTACTCATATACTAACATTGGAAAAAGCCCTTAAAAGGACAAAAAAATTTTATTAAGTTAATTTCCTTTCTCTATATGCAAGCCATGCACTAGCTAAGAATAGAACAAAATCTAGAATTTTCTCACTGGCATATTCTCTTGATTTATTTAGTTATATTTTCAATTAATTTTCTTTCCTATTCTTGAAGTGTAGCAGAAGAAAACTTGTGGGATTTCAACACATCAACCATTTTTAATTACAAATATGACCCAACTTCCATAAACCTCAATAATTCAATTCCAATTCAGTAAATCCCTCACAAAGGGAAGAAATTTCTTAATTCTCTCCCTCTCACACACACACCAAAGAAATTTTACTTGATTTTTTTTTGGTTCAATGATAGTTAATTTATATTCATTTCGACTAATCTTTTTCTCAATTTAGTCAAAGACAAACTACTTAGGGATTGAACTTAAAACGTCTGAATTTACAATTTATTTTTGTTATCATATAAATTATTCATTATTTTAATTTTTCATGGTTTTCTCGGAGACCAAACAACGGTAAGAATCAAAAGTCAAAACTGATTTAAAACAAATCTTACTGACAAAATATAAAAATTATGCCCACAGAAACTCGAACAGAGTTCAAAACATGTATATCTGGACCGGCACAACACAAATAATAATTCATATGATAACAGTATAACACAATCAAAATATGCATATGAATATATACGTACCCCACAGCCAGTATCAATGGCGGTTCTTATTGACCCATCTCTGAGATTGATCAACTTTCCAATATCATCGATGTACGCATCAGCACCGCGAGGGAACATGGTCCCACCACCCGGGAACCTGAACCGGTCCCCCTCGAACCGGACCCAGTTCTGACCGGCTTTTTCCACAGTCAAATGTTTATGAGGAACGTTAGCGTACCATACCGAGTCACGGCTCTCCGGCCACCGGAAAGGCGTCGTATAACCAAACGGAGCCGGAACTCTACACTTCATCAACTCATTCTTTTCTGGGCAGTGTCTCTCTCTGTATATCAACATGTTTCTATCGAACTTCAACGATCTTTCGACGTCTTCGCATGGGGTGCATTCGGAGAATTTTGGGTTACATGGTGGGAACTGTTCATCACGCGCCACAGGAGAGAGTGGGACGAGGTCTTCGGCGTTGTGGTGGGCCTTGAAGTCGAGGGGTTTGGAGTCTTTGGACAGATGGGTGGTGGTGTTTTTTATGGAGTTGCAAGGGAGAGTGGGGAGGATGGTGGCGGCGGAGGTGGTGCGGGCCGTTACGCCGCCGTGTTGCCATATACCGATGAGATAGGATATAGAGCATAGGATGGTGACCAAGGCCATATAGTAGAGATTAGTTCTCTTGGTTTTCAGTGTAAGGTGGTATCGTAGGGTGGTCCAATTCGCCATTGCCACCAACCCAGAGACTTGTGTCGATTGTTTTGGTCTTAAAATTTACATAAATGGAGAGAGAGGGAAAGAGAGAGACCTATATAAACCTATATAACTGCAAGAGATATTATAATAAGTGCTTGAATACTCTACTTGACCACTTGTACATCGTTTTTGGAAACAAACATTAGTATTAATTATCTTTTTCATTAAGGTAAACAAACGATACGTACACCAACTTGTATATAGTTTATTTTATATATCTTCTTCCAACATTATTAAAACGACGAGTAGATCTTAGTAAGAGATTTTTACAAAAACATAAACTATTTATCCTTCAATATTAAACTCAATTATCCTTAAAAAAATTCAAAAAATGTTGAAAAAGTAAACATATTTTGAAGAACTAGTGAAATATTGTCGTTTAAATTATTTTAAGGGGTTCCTATGTTATTATTAACAAAATTTGGGGTATTGTTATAATTTACCATTTCAGTAATGTTAAGGTGACGAGTGAACTTTTTGAGGGGTAGCGTTGGATTTAAGGGGTTTACGTAAAGGATAATTGACGCGCGGAGTGGGTGCCACGCGCCTATTGTGCTACCCCGTGAATGCATTTCACCCCTGGCACTAGGAGACGGGCTGAGGAGTGAGGAGGTCTGCGTATTTAAGGTAGGTAATTGTCCCGTGCAAGTTAAGAATATGTGGAGATGCTGTGTCCGGATCTTTTGCTGTATTGCCTTACTCTTTTTTTTTTTTTTTCCGAAAAATATAATTTAGACCTAAAATACCAAACTTATTTGTCGATTTAATTAATCATTGTTATTGAATTGATAGTGGGAGTTAAAGTAATAATAATAATTGATTATTTCTAAGGCTGATAATCAAACGAGCTCAAGCCGAGTCTAGTTTATTTTTTTAAATGAGTTAAAAAAATTATTTAAGTTCGATTCGTTTAAAAAACGAGTAGAATCTGATCCAACATAAAACAAACCAAACTTGATTATTTAAACATAAATGAGTCGAGTCTATCAAACTTGTTTTCTAAATGACTTAAACAATTATTTAAGTTTCGCTCGTTTTCTAACGATCCGAGTTTGAACGATCTTTAAACGAGCTGAGCTCTAGTAGTTTGTTCGATTATTAGTCCTAATTATACCAACAAATCGGATCAACAGTTTTAGGTCCAAGTAGCATTGGTTATTTTTTCCATGGAACTTTTAATTTGGTCACATAGCGTGTAAATTTTTCAAGAATTTTAATTTCTATGTGGAGAGACAAAGAGACTTGGATTCAAGCTTTTGTTAATTATATGGTCTCCTACCATTTTGGTTAAACATTAATCTCAACTGAGTTAATTACTTATGGTTTTCTGTATAGTTTTTTATGTTAGTCTTCCTTACCAAAAAAGAAATTTGAATCCATTTCAATATATATATATATTTTGTCTGTGCCTGAAGACACATAATAATAAAAAATGATAAACAATAAACATATTTGTATTTATATCCAAAATCAAATCACAAACATAAATGAAAGATAAATGAATTTAAACATCGGTTGTAGTGGGGGGTAAGAGGTAGTGAATGACAATGGTGGTGATAGCATACAATGATTGTTGTGGTGGGTGACAATAATTGTGGTGGCGATGGCGATGGTGGTGGTGGTGGTGATGGTGGCAGTGGTTGTGGCGGTGGTGGCGACGGCGGTGGTAGTTATGATGGTAGCAACAACGGTAGTGGTGGTGGCGACGATAGCAGCGGCGGTTACGGTGGTAGCGGCAACGACGACAGAGGTGGATGTGGCGGTGGTGGCAGTGGGGGTGGTGTTGGTAGAGATAGTGATGAGACGGTTTCAAACACTATTTTTTTTAAATACTTATAAGAAATAATTTTTAAAAATACTTTAAAAAATCACTTCAAGCACACTCTTAGGGATTTTTTTTTATTAAATTTAGGGTGTTAATATTAGTCATTAAATTAACTTTAAAATAAAATTTAGAGTGATTTGAACTACGAAAAACAAAAATTATTTTATTTATTTTTTAAAATTTAAATTGTAAGCTACTTTATTTTATATATATAATTTTTATCTTTTCATTCATTGTGAATTCAATTGGGATTTTCTATACAAAATTGGGTGTCCTACCTGTGTTCAACAAGTTTCACCTATCATACCGTTTTGATTATTGTTAGTAGTGTACTATTACTGATAATAGTAAATTAGGCAAGAGCTCAGCACGTTAGCTCTATAGCTTGATAAGGCGAGCTAGACTTAGTAAGGACTTTAGCTCCTTCCTCGCAAACACTTAGCTCGGCTTATTTTGACTAATTTAAACTAGTTGAAATATCTATGCTAGAATGTGTCAGTTTCTGTTCTATTTCCAATGCTGTTTCATTTAAATAACTGTTAAAAATCTTCCAACGGTAAAATTCATTGAACTATAAAAATGCTAAGTTAAATAGAACTTCTCTCCATCATTCTCTTTTGACTTTACCTTCTTTGGTCTTCGACTTTTTGTGTAGGAAGATTTTTTCCGATTGCCAGGTCACAACTCCGGCCATCCCTTTTTTGAATTTTTGGTTTTTTTTTAATCAAAACGAGTATCTGACAACTATCATTAACCACGATTTATAAGCTCTCATTGAAAATTTGGTTACAATTATAATCTTATGGTCGATTTAAATAGCTGACTAATTAACTATTCAAACATGATAATTTGAGGTTTTAATTTTCGCTCTCAATTAAGTTTAGTCTGTGTAGTTTAAATACCAAAATAATTAAACGGCAAAAAAAATTGATGATTCATGAATGGTGGATGAAAGGGGTTGGCTAGTTGTTATCCTCACTTTTGGCTCCATATCAGTTATGTTTCATGTAGTGAATCAGAGACATTAATGCAGTGACTAATGAAACTAAAGTATTGTGAGATTTTCTATATCTCATAAGATTCTTGAGAAAATTAAATGAAGTACAAACCAATAAAGTTGACCAAATGAATCAATTTATTCCAATTCTATGTGTTTGAAGTCAATCCATAGCCAATCGAACTTTAAAATATCATTCAAAATTGACAATAATATTGGATTTATTTGGAGCTAATTTTTTTAGGTGAAAAATTACGGTTTGAAAAGTTTCGCAAAATTGAAAAAGTTAAAAAAAATTCGTTTGGAGTGACTTTCTAGATTTTTTGGTGTCAAAATAAAAAAATAATTACATGTATGTATAAATTATGCAAAATAATTCCGAAAATATGAATTTTAAATTTTTTTATGTCACTAATAATATTTTATGAATATAATAAACAAAAAAGTTATGTGATAAATGCAACAAAACTCAAAAAAGTCGGAAGAAAAGTGCATAAAATTAGCTTCTTTAATCAGCCTAAATAATTTTTTTTTGGTCCAAAAAATTGTTGCATAAGTTGGTAAAAAAGTCAAGGTCCAACCAGACTTGACTTATTTTACTCCAAACCTTTAAAAACTACTTATTTAAGCTACATCCAAACAGACCCAATGACTATTATTTGGTAGAATTACAATTTTTTTTTTGTTGGAATCAAAATTAAAACTTAGATTTACTCATGACAAGGAGTTTAGCTTGTATTAATCTCATCAGACATTTTAGAAACAGTTTAAACATAATATTGTAAGGCAACTCTAAGGTGTTTTTTTGTGGATATTTTCAATCATCTCATTTCTTTCATTTGACTTAAATAAACCGTGCTATAACAACTCCTTTATGAAATGAATAAGACCATGGTATCACCTTGCGTCCATAGATTAATAGTGCATAATCAAACATTGATGGCTACAACTTATTGAACCAACATTATTATTAATAAGATTGAATTATTAATAACCTTATCCCATTTTATTAACCATGAAGAATCATAGTCTGACATAATTATAATAAAGTCTTTAGTTTATTTCCTTGTGCTGTTGACATAGTATCCCTAGTCTTCTTGTGGGGGAAAGATGATTTGTATGTGGGGTAGTTTTGAACCGGGGTTGCATAATAGGATCTGTGTGGGTCATTTGGATGGAATATAGACATGGGAGTTGTTGATTTAAGCTTACTAAATTTGGTGACATTTGACTTTCGATTTCTTTAGTAGGATGCTCTAATGGCCTGGCTAGGTGAGAGGTCTATGTGGTCCAATTTAGTATTGAAAATTTTAGGTGTACCTTTAGATGTACTCTCTAATTACAATATGTATAGGTGTGTTTAAATATCTTCCTTTTATAATAATAATTTGGAGAAAAACTAAGTATTATATGAGATAATATGTTTGTCTTTTAAAAAAAATGAGATAATACGTTGAATAGGTATAACTAGGGAAAAGTCTTTTGAGTTTTGAAATGTTAATGTACGGTTCATATTAATCATTTCTCCTTGAAGCTCGAATCAAATTGGATTGTCAATTTTAAATTTTTGTTCAAGTTAGGTTTAACTTTTAAATAAGGATGATAATCGAGTTGAACTTGTCAAACTCATTTTCTTAAGCGAGTCTAAAAAATTATTCAATTTCAGTTCGTTTAGAAAATGAGCCGAACCCGAGCCAAACTAAACTCGAATAACTTGACTATTTTATACATAAAATAGTTGAACTTTTTAGACTTGTTTTCTAAATAAATCTAAATAATTGTTCAAACTCGGTTCGTTTAGAATACGAGCCGAACTCGAATCAAGTCCAATAAGAGTCAAGCTCGAGTGGGTCGGCTCAATTATCCGCCCTACTTTTAGATCGTAGCGATAAGGGTGGCATGCATTACTCGTTCTTGTTTTCTAAAATCATTTTTTTCGTAATTAGTATTTACTAAAAATTTCTTTTTAAAATGTTCAATATTGACAACTAAAAAGTCACTATGACACAACAATTCATCCTCATAAGATCTTGTGACTTTTTCTTTCCATAACTTCCTGAATTGGCCCTTAGTAGTTGAATTTATAATTGTATATGAGTAAGTCTGTACATAATTATAGTTGTTTTTATCAAGGTCGTGCTATCCCATTTA